TTAAGAATTCACCTCTTAAAAGCTACCCTAGACACACTTGACCCCAGCCAGACTCAGTCCCAGTAACAGGAGAAACATCATTATTGTATCACTTTTAGACAGAAAACTAATCCGTAACCATTTGATAAGTCATACATTTAAAAGCTAATGCATGTTTAGCTTTTATTTCTGATGGTTTTGTTCTAATGCTTTCAAGACCAGTGAGCAACTGAAACAATTAGAAACAAACATGGTTATGAGGTTGCACAAACACCCACATTTCCTTTTATTCACTCATTTCTCAAACATTTCTAAATATTTAATTTAAAAGAAATATATTTCCACTCTAAAAATCTCTTCAATGATTTTTCTTCATTTGTTTAAACAAAGAATACACCACTTACTGCAGTTAAATAGATCTTTAACATCACTAGCCAGGTGATTTGCATTTCCAAGTTTCGCAGAATTTCAGATAATGATCCAAAGTTGGAATACATATCTATGAAGCTTGTCAAAAATGCAAGCAATTTAGAAAATTATGAAGGTGTACAAACAAGTTTAGACACCATACAACTTATTCATCAGAAGGCCAGGAAAAAGAGCAAGGAATCCACACTAGAGGTAAGACATGCTATACGTGCTCTAGTGCCTGAGTGCACACACGAAGTGAATTTGATGGTGCTAGTTTTACCTGCTTTGGAGTGACATCTAGCATACTTCACCCTCTGGTGGCTGAAATACCTAAATAAGAGTTATTTACAAGCATAAATTAAAATCTCATTTGAAATCTAAAACACAGTATAGGTTGGGAGGTAAGTAGCGGCTGCGTACATATGTGCACAAAACTACTAGCCAAAAAAATTATGAGTGGTAAAAAAAGCAAAACTTTGCTTAATTAATTCCCAACTCCCACCCCTTGTTCGTGGGTTTTTTGTTTTGTTTTTTTTTAGTATCAGGCAAAGCAGCTGGTCCATATTATAATAAAAGGCCACGAAATATTCACTTAACACATTTGCTTCTAGTTATGCCAGTTCAAGTCTTAAATGTATTTTTCCTTTACATTTATATTTAAAAAGACAGCCTCTAAAGTTCTCTCAGTATTGCGCCTCCTCTGGACAACACATATTCAAAGTTTCATCTCATGGCAAATTTTCATGGGAAGAATAAAATCCCCCGTTTTTCAAATGTTTTACGATGCTAAAATTAACAAACCTGATTTTTCCAGTAATGTATATATTTCAGTCACTACAAGCAATTTTTTTTAAAAGTTTAAAATAAACTGAATTGCTTCATTCCTCCACTGGGTTTTTCTCTCCATCAGCAATCTGATTTCACAACTCTTCTTGTGACAAAGTTTTGTCATTTAGAAAATTTAAAGTTTCACAGTAAATTTCATAACAAAGCCAAGAAGGGAACAGGGAAGAATAGTCTCTTCCCTGATTTAGTTGGGGATTGGTCCTGCTTTGAGCAGGGGGTTGGACTAGATGACCTTCTGAGGTCCCTTCCAACCCTGATATTCTGTGTCTCTGAACTACAAAAGAAAACTTACTATTCAGTATTTTTATACAGAGCTCATGCTCAGACAAACCAATTCTGCAGACCTTGTAAGTGAAATAAGGACAGCTATTAGTGATTACTTAACAAGTAAACTTATTAAAATACCATTTAAGTCAATTTTCTTTACTTAGCCTAGCCAAAAAAAAAAATTAAGTCAACAATTGCTAATGACTACAAAGGAATTGGATAAGCACGTCAAAAGTTCTAGACAGAATAGGGAATAGCCTGGTTCTGCTAAACTCCGACATTATCTACCTGCTTAGAAGAATAAAGATAGTTTTAAGTGATGTGTTTAAACTTAATTTTGTATTAAATAGCTAACTGGAGATTAGCTCCGAGTGAAGGACTAGTGAATACACTGAACAAAGTGACCCACAGAAAGCCAAATACATAGAAAGAACAAGGTAGCTAAAAAACAAACATTTTAGCATCAGAAACTGCATAAATTGCTAGAGATATTTTAATACTATGTTTTCTAAGTATCAAAACAGCAAGTTACACGATTCTCTGTGATGAGCCTCAAATCAAAAATTGCAAACATTTCAACCAGGGTGAGCAGGAACACTCAGCAAAAATTCAAGCTTTAGAGAAAGCTAAGTAATTTTGGAAAGAACCTTTACTACCAGTATAGGTAATCACCACAAGAACTGATAAAGAGGCAAAATCCAAAACCATAGCTTCTTGATTGTTTTCTCCAACAAACTGAACATGTTACACTTTAATATTTCCTCCTTCATTTTCTACAAGAGTTGTGTACATGAATCACATGGGACAGCGGTTCTCAATCGAGCCTTTCAGGGGGCCACCACCGAAACCCCAAGACCCGGCACCCACCCACAGGTCAGACACCGGGGGCAACATAGGGCTGACACCCCATCCCTTGCACGCGCATACACACACACGCACACCCCCCCCTGCAGGGTTGAAGCCAGGGGTGGAGCAAGGCTGAAACCCCGAGCTTTCCCCCCGACACACACACACACCCCTGCTGAAGCCCTGAGCCCATGGGCAGAGTTCAGGGGGCACAATGGTGCTTCCCCCCCCAAAACTGCAGTGCCTTACCCAGAGTGGGGCAGTCCTGCAGGCAGCTCCACACGCACCCCACCTCCTCCTCTCCCTCAGCCCCCCTCAAGCCCCACCCTCTGGCCAGATCCTAGGCTGGAAGCCAGAGCCAGGCAGTGTGGGGCTGCTGCTCCTCTGGCTAGTGGTGCCATGGAGCAGGCAGCCATGGTATTCCCCCATCTGCTGCTGGTGCCCGGGGTTGCAGGTGCTCCTCAGCAACCAGCCCCCTTTAACTGCTCACGCAACCCATCAAAGCTGCCCAGGTGGGGATCCAGCTCGGCGCCCGGCAGAGCCCGCAGGGAGCAGCCACCGGCACACAGCCCCACACAGGTGGGTGGCCTGCTGAGTGAGTCAGGGGTGGAGGTAGCAGTCCCTCCCTGGGCCCTGCTGTGCAGAGCCTGCCCGAGCCCTGCCAGACATTCCCCCTCCCCCGGCCAAAATAGAAGTCAAACTACACCTAGGCCGAAAGGTCCCACCCTTGGCCCAGAGACCCAAGTCCCATCTCCTCCGCCTGGCCCTGGAATTTTTATAGCATGTTGAGCGGAGGCCTCAGAAAGAAAAACGTTGAGAACCCCGACAGAGGCTATCACACAGCACACTGAAGTTTCAGTGCTCTGTTTTGCAGCCTGGAATGGTCAACCATTTCTACCCATGCAAAAACCACCTAGCCAGACAAAGTCGCAGTACTTTACAGCGTGGTACAAAGATCACTTATAAATCCGTTCCATGCAAGCTTTGCCTACTGTGACATGTTTTGAAAAAAGACTCTCACCATTGCACTACCGTTAATGCAGTTCCCCAGGAGCAGCATTAATGTAAACTGGGCACAGGCACTTTTACCTCCGTATCTTACTTGCCTCAGCACAGCTAGACACAGCACTGCAGTAAAGTCGCTTGTGCCCTGTGCACTCTCATCATTGCTGTCGCTGGTGGAAGTGCAAAGGCCATTTCCCAAAATCTGCTAGAGTAGAAACTCCATAGCATGTTTCAAGAATGCAGGGAAGTTTCAACTGTTGACTCGATGCAGTAATTAATACTAGCAAGCAAGGTTCACTCAGAACCTGAAGAAAGGAAATTTCAGTGCATTTTCTTTGCAGAAACATTCTCTAGTATATAAAATCAAAACTCCAAACCAACTCAAATCACCGTTATTCTTAGGGGAAGGGCGAGTGAGAGGCCCTAAAAATCGTTAGGCTAGCAATACCCGGATGTGTACAACGCTTTAATAGGTTCAAAGAGATACCAAACCCTTTTAAAGCTCTTCCCACAAGCAGCAGCCTTGGCAATGTAATTTATGCCCACAGACCTACTAGAGTTTCTCCAAAGCCTTTGCAAAGAGAGACAAAAAAGAAACAGCATCCAGTTACTACAATCAGAAGCAGTAGGTCAGCACCACTGCCTTCCTTCGCATCTCAGACAAAGTAAGCCCTGCAAACAGAGTATTTTTTTAATCCCTCCATATCCAGCTTCCTCTGGAATGCAGACTTCTTTCATTTAGTAACAAGGTGGAGGCCCTGTCAGAAAGGGTGAAATCTCCAGGTTACTGCAGCTTCAGAGTTCCTGGTTCTCCCATTCCTATTTAAGTACTTAAAACAAGTGAGAGGGAAACTATCCGCCGGTTCCCAGTCAGGAGTCAAACTGCAGAAGCAGCGAGACCAGTCAGGGGGCTGTTAAAATCAACATTACAGGACAACAAACTTGGCCCTTTGTGGCATGACCAGTCACCTCCCTCCCCCGAGGGGCACTCAATGAGACAGGGCAGCCCAGCACCCAAGGGGATCCTACGGACTTTCTAAACGGGCAACTCCCGCAGCTCTCTGCTCGGGCCAGTGCCCTGCCCACGTGGGACGCCAGAGCTCGGTGCCCCGGAGCCGGGGGCTTGCAGGGCCAGGCCCAGCGCAGACAGCAGGGCGGGGGCTGGAGCCCCATGCAGGGCACGTTCTGCACCGCACACGGCCGGCGCTTCGGGCCCCCTGTCGCCGCCGGGTCCCCCGCAGCCTTGGCGCAGCGAGCAGGCCGAGCCGCCCCGGGGGCTGCGCGGCTCAGCCCTCTCCAGCGGCCGGACCCGCCTCCCCGCAGCCCCGGGGACACCAGGTGCGAGGCGCTGACCCCCCGGCCGGGATGCAGCCGGGGCAGCGGGGAGTCGCTCCAGCCCGGGCCGCACGGGGAGCCGCGGGGGCAGCGCCTCCCGCTCCGCCCCGGTGCCCTTCCAGCCCCCCCCGCCCCGGGCGGCCGCCCCCCTCGGCGAGCCGAGAGCAGCCCCCAGCCCGGGCTCCGCGGGCCCTGCCCGCCCCCAGCCCGCAGCGCGCACGGGGCAGCCGCCGCTCCCGGCCCAGCGGAGCCATCTTGGGCGCAGGGAGCCGCCGGCCGCCCGGCCCGGCCCGGCGCACCGCGCCGCTCACCTGCACGATCTCGCCCTCGGCGCTGAGCGTGGCCCCGGCCCGCGAGAAGCGCCCCTGCAGCCCCGTGGTGTAGGTGGTGTAGTCGCCGCTGGGGCTGGACTCGAAGAGCACCACCTCCACGAACGCCGTCTCCTTGGCCAGCGCGGCGCCCGGGGCCGCGGCCAGCAGCAGCCCGAGCAGCAGCGGCGGCGGCACGGCCGGCCCGGCGCCGGCCCCGCAGCCCCTCATCGCGCGGCGGGACGGGGCAGCGCCCAGCCGCCGCGCATCGCTCGCCAGCGGCTCCAGCTCCGGGCGCCCGGCGGGATCCGGGCGGGTCAGCGCCCCATGGCGGCGGCGGCGGCGGCTCCTCTGCCCCGCGGCGCCCAGCCCCGCGCCTCCGCCTGCCCCTCGCTCCCCTTCCCTCGCTCCGGCTCCCGGCCTGCCTGCCAAGCCGCGTCGCTTTCATCTGCTCCACGTGACAGCTACCGCGGGGTTATCCCCGCCCCGCGCGCTGACCCGCGCCCGCCCTCCGCGCCGCCGGCCGGTCACGGGCCGGGCCGGGCCGGGCCGGGCAGCACCAGGGCGGGCCGGGCCGGGCAGCACCAGGGCGGGCCGGGCCGGGCAGCACCAGGGCGGGCCGGGCCGGGCAGCACCAGGGCGGGCCGGGCCGGGCAGCACCAGGGCGGGCCGGGCCGGGCAGCACCAGGGCGGGCCGGGCCGGGCCGGGCTAAGCAGCAGCTGGGCGGTCACGGGCCGGGCAGCACCAGGGCGCCTGGGTTGGGCCGGGCCGGGCCGTGCAGCACCCAGGCGGGTTGGGCCGGGCCGGGCCGGGCCGTGCAGCACCCAGGCGGGCTGGGCTGGGCTGGGCCGGGCCATGCAGCACCCAGGCGGGTTGGGCCGGGCCGGGCCGTGCAGCACCCAGGCGGGCTGGGCTGGGCCAGGCCGGGCCGGGCAGCGCCCGGGCGGGCTGGGCCTGGCCGGGCCGGGCCGGGCAGCACTGGCGGGGCCCCCGGGGCGCAGAGCGCCGGGCTCGCAGACCCCGCAGCGGGTGGAAAGCCCATTACTTTACGGTGCCTCAGCCGGGGCCTGCGGCAGGAGCCCGGACTCGTTAAAAGGTCACCGCTGCTGCCGAGCCGGGCTCTCCGGGGAGGGGCGCGGAGAGGGGCCCTCCCGGTGGCCCCAGCCCGGCTCCGCTCCGGGCACGGGAGGCTCCTGATTGTCTCGACCACGTGCAGGGTCAGGCCTGGACGCTTGGCCTTGCCCGGCTTCCCGGTCAGAGCCCGAGTTTTTCTGAGAAGTGTGAAGTAGTGCAGTGCGGCAGAGAGCTACTCCCAGGGCACTCGGGGAGCAGGAGAGGGCCCATAAGGGAAAGCAAAGTAATAGTTCTTGTAGGTTTTAGTCTGAAAACTGACTGCTCAAATGGGCTGCTTCTTACCAAAAAGACTGTTACCTACCTTCCCCTAGCAGCTGTTCTTTGGGAGGGGTTGCACATGTCCACACTGTAGGCATGTACCTGTTTCGGGCAGTCGAGAGAGAACCTTTCCCCAAGCCGTACCTGTCTGGGCCGGAGGGGCACTGCCTGCCACTGCCAGCAGTCTAAGACTCCACTAGAGAGAGGAAGGAAGGTAGCTTGTGGAATGGACATTTCAAAGAACAACACTTTGGAAAGGTAGGTCATAGAATATCAGGGTTGGGAGGGACCTCAGGAGGTCATCTAGTCCAACCCCCTGCTCAAAGCAGGACCAATCCCAACTAAATCATCCCAGCCAGGACTTTGTCAAGCCTGACCTTAAAAACTTATAAGGAAGGGGATTCCACCACCTCCCTAGGTAACACATTCCAGTGTTTCACCACCCTCCTAGTGAAAAAGTTTTTCCTAATATCCAACCTAAATCTCCCCGTCTGCAACTTGAGACTATTACTCCTTGTCCTGTCATGTGCTATCACTGAGAATAGTCTAGATCCATCCTCTTTGGAACCCCCTTTCAGGTAGTTGAAAGCAGCTATCAAATCCCCCCTCACTCTTCTCTTCCGCAGACTAAACAATCCCAGTTCCCTCAGCCTCTCCTCGTAAGTCATGTGTTCCAGACCCCTAATCATTTTTGTTGCCCTTCGCTGGACTCTCTCCAGTTTATCCACATCCTTCTTGTAGTGTGGGGCCCAAAACTGGACACAATACTCCAGATGAGGCCTCACCAATGTCGAATAGAGGGGGACGATCACGTCCCTCGATCTGCTGGCAATGCCCCAAAATGCCATTGGCCTTCTTGCCAACAAGGGCACACTGTTGACTCATATCCAGCTTCTCGTCCACTGTCACCCCTAGGTCCTTCTCTGCAGAACTGCTGCCTAGCCCTTCGGTCCCTAGACTGTAGCGGTGCATTGGATTCTTCCATCCTAACGGGTAACTGTTTTCCCTTCAAGTGATTGCACATGTCCGTTCCACTGTAGGTGACTCACAAGCAGATTAACATGGAGGCAGGCTCAGAGTCTATCTGAACAGTGATTGTAGAACAACCCACCCAAAACGAGCATAGTTCCTGGACTGATGGGAAGTGGTATACTGAGCAGCAGAAGTGTGTACCGGTGACCTGGTTGGTGCTTTGGAAAGGTTTTCAGCAGGTGCTTGTGCTAGAAAAGCTGCCTGTGCTCTAATCAAATGAGCCAATAGTCTGGGGGTGACATGCTATTCGCTAACTGGTAGCACAAATAAATGCAAGAGGAAATCCTCTGAATGGAAACCTGTTTGCCTGTCACCTTGTCCAGCATCACAACAAATAACTTTTTGAGGATCTAAAAAGGGCTGGTGCAATCCATGTAGAAGACCAATGCTCTCCTCACATCCACCAAATGAAGCTTCTGTTCATCCATATGCATGTGAGGCTTCAGGGAAAACGGCAGAGAGTCCTGTGGCACCTTATAGACTAACAGACGAATTGGAGCATGAGCTTTCGTGGGTGAATGCCCACTTCGTTGGATGCATGTTTCAGGAAAAATGTTGATAAATAAATTGCCAGATTAACATGGAAATTGGAAACTACCTTTGTCAAGAATTTTGGGTGAGGACAAAGGTAGACTTTATCCTTATGGAAAACTGTAAAAGGAGATTCTGAAACCAAGGGTCTCAGTTCACCCACTCTCCTTACTGAGGTTACTGCAACCAACCAGAATGCCATAGAGAGGTGGAGGAGGAAGCATGGTGCAAGAGGTTCAAAGGAAGTCCCCATTAATTTTGTTAGTACACGATTTAAATCCCATGGGGAACAGGCTCTTGTACTAGAGGGTATCATCTGTCCAACCCTTTTAGAAATCTGATAGTTGTGGGGTTGGGAGAAAAAGTGATCTACTACCCTCCAGTGGGTAGTGGCACTGAAATCGTATACTTCAGTAGAGCTAACAGTCAGGCCTTGCTGTTTTAGGTGCAACAGATAATCCAGTCTGGTTAATGGAAGCCTGCACTGAAGAGACATTTCTCTGCTGAGACCAGGTAGAAAAATGTTTCCATTTGGCCAGGTAAGTACACCTTGTTGAAGGCTTTCTCCTGTTCTGAAGCACCTTCTGAACGTCTTTTGAGCAACTCCTTTCTAGTGGTGTTAGCTGGGAAGTTTCCACACTATTAAATGGAGGGCCTGTAGGTTGGGGTTGAGTAGACTGCAATGGTCTGAAAAATTACATCTGAATCTAATGGGGGAGGTAGAAGGCCTCACTAATAGGTTCAAGAACCAGCGTTGTCGAGGCCATGCTGCTGCTCTTAGAATGAAGCAAGCATGTTTGTGCTTGATCTTGAATAGGACTCTAGGTAGTAATGGAATCGGAGGAAAGGCGTTCAGCAGGGAGTTCATCCGTGATAGCTGGAAAGCATCTGTCAAAGACCCAGGGCTGGAACTCCCTCAGCAGCAGAACAGGAGGCATTTGTTGCAAACAGGTCCATGTGGGAAGTTTCCCCAGAGCTGGAAGATGAGCCTAGCGACATCTGGACCTAGTGACCATTCATGGCGAGGGGACAAAGACCTGCTCAGGTGATCTACTGGTGTGTTCTGCTCTCCTGGGAGGTATCCTTCTGGCACAGCTGGGAGGAACGTGCCCCTCCCTGTCTGTTTACATAAATCATAGTTGCTATATTGTGCTTTAACACTGATAGATTTTTTCCCCAGAATATGTGGCTGGAAGGCAGAGCAAACTAGACCGATAGCACGTAGTTCCCTGACCTTAATATGAGTCCTCAGCTCCTGCAAGGACTACTACCCTTGAGTTTGCAGGGTTCCGATATGTGCCCCCCAACCCAGGGACGAGGTATCCATAACCTACGTAAGCATTGGTTGCAGAGAAACTAAGGGAACTCCTGCATAAAGGGTCTGAGGGTGTGTCCACTGGTCCAGAGAGGACAAAATTACCTCTGGAACACAAATTTCTCTGTCTGGACAATGACAAAAGGGGGCATCCTTGAAGTTTCCTGCGGCATAATCAGGTGAGTTACGTCATGTAGCTACCTGCTGCCATGTGCCCCAGAAGTCTGAGGCAAGCATGCACTGTAGTCATGGGATGTGCTTTTAGATCCAGTACCAGGTCTCAGAGCATTTGGAACTTTGACTGGGGCAGAAATGCTCTGGTTTGTATGGCATCCAGGAGTGCTCTGATAAACTGTTCTTGCACAGGTTTTTAGAATTGATCTGACTTGACTGAGTAAGAGACTCAGTGCATTGAGGGTGGACTGAATTATACCCACACTGGACAGCACTTGAGAGTGCATCCAGCCTGTCACCAACCAATCATCCAGAAGGGGAATGCATGGATTCCCAATCCTCTTAGATACACAACTGCCTTACCTTGCACATTGTGAAAACGCAAGGGGCTGCTGCTGACAGACCAAATGGAAGTAGTGTAAATTGGTAATGTGTTTCATTTGCTAGGAACATGATGAACTTGCGGTGGTCTAGAGGGATCACTATATGGAAGTAACCATCCTTTAAGTCGAGGGCAGCATACCAGTAGCCCTGTTCAGGGAAGGAATGATGGCAGCTAGGATAACCCTGGGGATCTTCATTTTCTTCAGGTACTTTTTTAACTCCCTTAGATCTAAAATAGCTCTGAGACCCCCTTTTGTTTTGGGAATAAGGAAATAGCAGGATTAAAAATGGTTCCCACTGAGAAATTGAGGAACTTCCTCTATTGCACCCACTGGAAGGAGAGATTAAACCTGCTGTAAAACGGTGTTGTGAGAGTGGTCCTTGAAGAAGGATGGAGAAGGAAGGGGATAGAAACAAACTGAAGTCAATATCCCACATCCACCATGCTTAGGATTCACCGAACCGATGTGACATGAGTCGAAGCACAGAGGAAGCAGGAAAGACAATAGGCAAAGGTAAGGGTAGGAACAGATTCGTCTAAAGTATTGACAAACCTGTCAGAAATGCATGTTTAGACTGGACCATTGATTGAGAGGAACCTGCTGTTGCAGACAGAGAGGTGGTGGACACTTTCTATAATTCTTGTCCCTCTTTTTTTGGCAGGTCTTGGGCCTGAGGTATAAAGCTCTGATATCTGTGAGCCTTCTGGGGCCAGAATTGCTTCCTCTTCATTGCCAGTGTGTAAATTCCAAGGGACTTCAGTGTTGCCCTGGTTGCTTTGCCACCTATTGTCCATCTTTTCTGAAAAGAGGGATGGACCCTCAAATGGCAAATCCTAGATGGTCTGCTGTACTTCAGGAGGGAGACCAGAAGATTGCAGCCATGAACTTCTCCTCATAGAAATAGCAGATGTCATGGAACAAGCTACTCAGTCTGCCACATCCTAACTGTCTTGAAGAACTATCCTTGCACCCCCGCTTACCCTCCTCTATCCTGAGCCAGCGCCTGCCTGGAATCCTCTGGTAGCGTGTCTTTAAACTTCAGGATGTTTTCTCATAGGGTAAAATCATAGCAATTTAAGAGGGCTTGCCAGTTAACAATTCTTGGCTGCGGAGTGTCTGTTGAATAAGTTTATGACCAAACAGGTCCAGCCTCTCTGATTCCTTACTCTTCAGCGTCAATGCTTGGTGACCCTCATTCTCCTGCTCATGAGCTGATGTCACCACCAAAGGGCCTGGGGGTGCGTGAGAGTAGAGGGGTTTGAAGCCCTTAGAAGGGACACAGTAGCTCCTCTGTGCCTGTTTCGCTGTAGGCAGGAGGGAAGAAGGGGTCTGTCAAAGTGTTTTAACCGGTTCTAGAATTGCTTCATTACCTTGGAAGTACCACTCTGGTGGGTCTCACAGAAGCTAAAGTATCCACTAGCTTGGGAGATTTCTTATGGACCGATTCCACGTGAACGTCTAAAACTGAGGCCACCTTTTTAAGCAGTTCTTGGTGAGCACTGTTATCCTCTGGTGATGGAGAATTGCTCGCCATCTCTACAGCCTCATCTGGTGATAAGGAAAACGACACACCAGGATGCTGAGGCAATGGCTGGTTTGCCACTTGCAGTGTAGGAACTGTCTGAGCAATTTCAAGTTGCTCAGTACCAGGCATCAGAGAACGTTGCCAATGATCTTGATGCATCCTTGGGGAAATAGACTCAGACAGGTGAGGAAAAGTCCTAGCACAGGCAGGGACACCCCTCGGTGGACAGACCTGGTGACTGTGGTCCCAGGGTTATGCATGCCCTTTCCCTTGTGACATGTCCACTGCTGGGACATCTGGGGCTCTGATGGAAGGTGTAAGGTTCTTTTCTGGTATGAGACACAAAAGACTCCACTTCCAAATCCGACAAAGATGACTGAATCCTATGGTAACGGAGGAGCAGAACCCAGGTGGACAGGAGACAGATAAGTGAACCCAGAGGCAGCAGTGCCAGGGATATAAACAGCAGCTTGCCCCTGGGGTGGACTGACCTCCGAGGCTCCAGGAGCAGCATCGGTAACGCATGCTCTTGCGGAGCTGGCATAGCCACTAGACACTGCACTGGCTGGAACCCTTCCTCCATCACCAGGGACATTGGTGTTGAGAGGTTAAGTAATTCTCTGGCCACAGCATATGCTTCTGGCATTGCTGGTGTCAGGATTGGGTCTTGGGTCTGACCAATAGAAACTTCAGGGGCTAGCTTTGGCAGACACGGCACAGGTTCTGCAGTAGATGCATCCCCTATTGTGGCAGAGGCATACTGTGGGGAACGCTCCCCCTCGGAATCCCTCCCAGACATCTTGCTTTTGTCCTGCCTCGGTTATGAAGATCTTGCTAGATAAGGTACCGTGTCCTTGGCAGATCTGTCTCCTCTTCAGCATCGGAGACAGAGAATGTGGTGCTAAAGACATCTCAGGAGGCACATGCTGCATCAGTAGTGCTGCACTTGGAGTGCACCCTGAACCCAACGGCTCCCAGGGAGGGCAAAGTGCCACCTCCGTAAGGAGACAGATCTCACTGTTCTGCCTCTTTTTGAGCAAGGCTTAAATCATCTGCAAATGTGACCTTTGTCACTTGGTGTGGGACTCCCCCAGACGTCTCAGGCAGCTGGGATGTGGGTCATGGACCAGCATCGTTCTGGCACACGACCAGCAGGACTTGAACCCCAGCGAGCCAGAAATGGCTCCAGTCCCAGTATCAAGTAATCAAACTTGGTCCAAAAGGGACCCAAACAACTAAAACCTAATATTAATGCTACGCTATATCTAATTAACTACTAAGTACTAAATGAGAAAACAAGCTATATACAAAGAGAGAGGAAAATAAACTTGCCATCACAATACTGGATGGAAGCGTTCCAACAACCATCACTGGCGATAAGAAGGAACTGAGGGGGGTCGGGGCGGCTCCACCCTCTTATACGGGCACACGGTGGTGCACAGATGTTGTAGGCACTAGAGCTGCCCCAACAGGTACAATTGAGGGAAAAAGTTCTCTGATAACTGCATGAGGCGCACAGTCACATACAGTGAATGGACATGTGCAGTCACTCAAAGAACCCCTTCGTTGTATTCAGAGTGGCACAAGGTTGCTTAACTAAACAAAGATTTTAATGGGATTTACTCATGTTAGCACTGGTAAGTCACTGTTCAGTGCCCATCCATCTAGATTCTTGTACTGTGCCCATCACCATAGTATCCAAGCTTTATATGGTGATTAGGCATTTATAAGATGCCTCTAAAAACATTGTCATAGATATCTGACTCTTGAGTGAGCTGAATTCTTATTGAGGTGAAGAGTCATCAACACAATAGTTAAAAATACTGCAACTGGAACTTGATTATGGTTGATGATGCACAAGCCAACAAGAACTAGGATGACCAGACAGCAAATGTGAAAAATCGGGACAGGGGGCGGGGGGTAATTGGAGCCTACATAAGAAAAAGACCCAAAAATCGGGACTGTCCCTATAAAATCAGGACATCTGGTCACCCTAACAAGAACTCAGCTGACTTCCACATCCCACTGCAGTCTGTAGTGCTAGCATCTGCTTAGTTTACAAGCTGGATTTCATTTTTCAGGCTCATTGTTTATAGATATATGCTCAGATAGTACGTGCCTTATAAGAGGCTAGCTAGGTAGGCATGACAGAATCATGGAATCCCATGAAGCTACATTTATGGCCACTTTTCAGACCATAGCCACAAGTTAAGTAAATACCATTCTAATTTGATACACCTTGAACGATTGACTTATATGTAATTTTCACACTTAGAAATTCAAATGAAAGACTAATTTCTTTTGATGGCATTTTACCCCTTCTTGGTACATGTACTGCACTATTTTTATTTATACAATGCCAAAAAGTGCGCTTGGCATCTAGAGATTTCTTGGTGTGTGCAGTTGTTACCTGAAGGGTGATTAGATATTTGATCTCTAGGTTGATATATTCTGATTATATGATCAACTCAGACACATATAGGATCCCTTCACGTCCGTCCAATAAATAATGGAAAGGGACATCCCTACTTCTCAATCTTCAAATTTACCAATACATGACAAATGACCAGCGGGTGGAACACCTGAGTTCTGTTGCACTCTAATTGACAGAGCATAATGGTTTCTAACTGTAAAACCTACTTATAAGACGATGTTTCTCCCTGAGTCAACTAAACCGGTTTTGCCATCTGTAACTAGCTTCCCCGGGGCATGGTGTGGGGAGGTGGGAAATAGTCCATACTCATGCAATCTGCCAAATTCAATTAATCCTGCTGCTTCTTCCCTCTTCCCCAGGTTTAACTAGTGTAGGCCAACTCTAACAGGACTCCGCTGCCTTACCTGCTCTTCTGAAACCTAAAAGGCTTTCAGTAGGAGCAGCAGCAGCTTCTCTTCTCTTTCCCTCCAATAAGCCATTGTTTGAAGGGTGCAAAGTGTGCCAGCCTATGAGGAGTGAGGCTGCTCAAGGCCTGCTCTCCTCCTTCCTCTGCCCTGTGACAAATGTGATGGTCTTAGCTACTCTCCCATCCCCAAGAGGCATCTGCTTCTGAGCAGCTCAGCTTCCTTCCTCCAAAGTCTCTCTCTCCTGCTTTTAAGGAGGGAAGAGGAAGAGAGGAGTAAGGGAAGAGTCTCTCCTCCTCCCTTCCTCACCCCCACCAAGCAACTAATTCTTGTCTGCAGAAGACAACCTTAATTGGGGGATAAAGCCTGAATCAGTAGCAGTGCAGAATGCACCCCAAACTACAGGGGGTTTGAGAACTCTAGGGATATCCCTTCCCAGTAGAGACTTCCACCCTAGAGAGCCTCCCAGAAATAAGTTGTTAATGCATGGAATGTTTACTAATTTGCATATGAAAGGCAGTGATGTGAAAGCCCTTTTTAGTTGCAATATGATTGCTAATTAAAGTGATTGTGAGCAGCTTACTTTATTAAATCCACACTTCGTCATGTTCGAAGATCCAGTCTACACTACTGCATGTTTTGTAACCAGTTCATGATATTCATGTGACCCAGTTAAGTCCATGTGTCTGTGTTGTGAAAAAGCAGCTATGTTTTTTGGGGACAGGAAGAGTGCTAACCTTGCAACCTAGCCTCGTTTATGATCAGTGCATTCTCCAAAAAGATGAGCTATCTGCACTCTGCCTTAGCAGGGGAGAGAAGGCCCAGACAGCAGCAAATGTGG